TTATTGAATTAAAATGTCTCTCCAACTAGAGCATGGTGCGTGAAATATGAACACGTTCGCCTGGTACGAAGAACATACACATTAAAAAAAAAACTCAAGGGGGGGGGGGGTACCCCCCTCCCCCCCCCCCCCCCCCCCCTGCGTACGCGCCTGCCTACACTTATTTTGGGGATGAGTTTCCTTTATTGAGGTCTATGAGTCTACGTCTATTCTAGCGTGTATTTTCTTGTAACTTAATGATTCTGGGATGTTTACTCACCAATATCTTTTCTCAAATATCACCACGTAGAACTCGGTAAACCAGTTATTTCATAAAAGAAATGCCGTATGCATGATCATATCCAAAACGAATTAAGAATTCCCTTAACGTACATACGTTACGTCTATCTATAAGCAGATGCAAATTCGCGATCCCATTGATTGCACGAGGCATGCCTCACATAACAGGAAACTGAATTGTAATCAAATTTGATGAATAAACCTTTGTTAAGTGCCCTGTGCCTAATTATTCCATCCACCTGCAAATAGCATAAATTAATTGTTGCTAGATAGGACAATGATTATGGCTTGTCCTATACACCTATCAACACGGAATGTATGCAACCTGTCTTCGCCCACAAACTGGCTCAGGCGACCCGGATCGAAAGTGAGTCACGTCTTTCGGATGGTGACGTCAAAGGTCGGTCCCAGATGTAAATAATCATATCAGACTGGAACACGTCTGTAAAATCCCAAATACATACATACATACAATCTTCAATTGGACACGTAATGCCAAGTTTGAAAGTGATCGCACAGAAAGGTTTTTATCATGAATTTGTTAAGATAATAAATTTGCCATTGAATTTTAACAGACGGGCGTGTAATTGCCTTTTTTACTCTCACATTAAACAGGGCGAGGATCCTGTCGTCAAATTCAATACTAAACGTCATGGTCCTTCTCGAGTATACTCTCAGCTACAATATATTATTCGTATCTCCAACTCATACTCTATCCGAATATGAAAAGAAATTGGGGTTGATGGACTCTTTCAAGAGCTATAATTTGTCCTTAGATTATACAAATATACTGATGAGTTGATTCCAGCTAGTTGATGATTAATTTCACTTTGATTGACGCAGCTGGTAAATGAAAATAACATGAGGCACGCGGTGAAGACAAAAAACGAAATTTGGTTTACATTTAATATCGAACAGCCGCGGATCCAAGCCGTTAAATATGAGAAAATTAATCAAGATAACTATTGGAAAGCCTGAATAAGCCTTTGTAGTTTACAGTTACCTTATTAAAAAAAAGTGTTCCCCCGCCCCAAAACCACTGAACGAAATATCTGACGACTTAATTTTCCAATTTCCGGGTCCAATGGATTTGATCTGAATTTTGAATTGAATTGATCTGAATTATAAATTGTACTTAATCTGAATTGTGAATCTATTTAACCTGAATTGTCAATTTAATTTAATCTGAATTATGAATTGTACGTGATCGGGATCTGAATTGAATTATTTTCTGAAATATGAATTGAATTTGTCTGAATCATGAATTGTATTGAATCTGAATTGTGAACTTAATTTAACCCGAACTATGACTTGAATTTAACTACTTAGTCTGAATTATGAATCGAATTTTGGTCTGCATGTTGAACTATCGCATTTGTTGTTACCTATGTTCATGTTAAATGTTCTACTCTGTACCCATCTGTATCTTATTGATGTTTATAATTTGTAATCTTGTACTGACATGCAAATGAAACAAATTTCCAATCATTTGACAATAAATTTGAATATGAAATATGAATATGAAAACAAAAATCTGACCGTGATTAAATGCCTTAGAACCCCTGAGCTTCCGGGGGCTCTGGCCCCTGGATTTCACCTAGGGCCTAAAGTCAGGCACCTTGATGCTCATCTGACGGTAATTTAATGCCCAAAACCCCTGAGCTCCTGGGGGCTCTACCCCCTGGACCCCACCGATGGGCCTTAAGGAGAACCGTATATATCTAGAACCCCTGAGCTTCTGGGGCTACCCCCTGGAACCCACCAGGGGCCCTAGGACGGGCCCCTGCATGCTCATCTGACCAAAATTAAATGCCTAAAACCCCTTGACTTCCGGTGGCTCTGCCCCCTGGACCTCACCTAGGACCCTAAGGCGGACGGATAGATGCTAATCTGACGGTAATTTAATACTTAAAACCCCTGAGCTTCTGAGATAATGGGGGACCAAATGGTAAAATTTACGTTACCATCTTTTTTACAACCCGTTTTTTACCCCTCGATACGCCCTTGAGCTCTTGCATAACTTTCAGAATACCACCACTGAATTCTGCATAATGGAAATTTGATAGAAAAGATACTTGTAATCCTAACAAGTCAAACGCCAATTTATTAAATCAATCGACAACTCACACGTGCTCTCTTTCCTATTCTTAGCACTTTCTTTATATAGTCAATTCTACTTAAAACCCAAAGTCGATCTAAGACCATGTTAAGTGAAATCGAATCATTAAGTGAATACGGGAAATTTGTAAAGCAAAATTAGACTACTTCACAGACATAAATAGGCAATAAGTTTTATCTCTTAACCCCAGGTGTCGGGTATGACTTACTTCTAACAATTTTATTTGGCTAAAGATAACAATAAACTGTAGGTATTCCATCAAAGTTTGACATCGACTTCATAATAGAGACTTATGGTAACTAAGAAATTCGATTTCACCGCTATACTCCGACTTGATTACAAACATAAAACACAAAACGCATCCCCCCCCCCAAACGCCCTCGTCACCCGAAAAAAAAAATCATCAGTAGAGGAGTAAAAATGGTTTGTATAAGGAGAGAAAACAGGTATTAATTTCCTTAACATTACGCATGCCCCTATATTTATCAACGGGGGATTTTTATAATAGCGATACGCGCAAATTTTTATGGGAAAGCGTGTTTTTTTCTCTCATAGGGGTGAGAAGACACGAGCCCCTGAACACTGGTGTACTGATGGGGGGGGGGGGGGGGGGGGGTAGTTGCCTCACAAATCAATTTCTTGTGTAAAATATTCTTTTCATGCGTTTGTTGGAAAATTACAAATTCCTATACTTTTAGTCAGGTAAAATATATGCTTATATAGAAGCCTTCATGTCGGGGCTTGCAGAAAAGTGGGGCTCGGGGGCTCGAGCGCCCTCACTTTATTGAAAAGGTATGTTAAAGAGAAAAAGAAAAAAAGAGAAAAAGAATAAGTGACCTGCCGTGACCTGCCAGTGTCACAAATGAGGTATCAAAATATGCTCATCTGACCGTAATTAAATGCCTAAAACCCCTCAGATTATGGGGGCTCTACCTCCTGGACCCCATCAAGGGCCTTAAGGAGAACCGTATATATCTAGAACCCTTGAGCTTCTGGGGGCTACCCCCTGGAACCCACCAGGGGCCTTAGGACGGGCCCCTGCATGCTCATCTGACTACAATAATGCCTAAAATCCCTGAGCTTCACGGGGCTAAGCCCCTTGGACCCCCGCCAATTATTGACTTGCCAGTGTCAAAAATAAGGTATCAAAATATACTCATCTGACCGTAATTAAATGCCTAAAACCCCTGATCTTCCGGGGGCTCCGCCCCTTGACACCTGCCAGGGCGAAGCCCTTGGATCCCACGCCAATTTATGCTCCACTCGCTTCGCTCGCTACACTCTACCTGATCGTTAACTCCACTTTTAAAAACGTTCCGCGGGGCCTGCATGTAACATGTAAGGGAGTGGTGATGCAGATTGTTATTCTCGTCTCCCCCCCCCCGAAAAAACGCCACTGTTCCCGAAAGGTGAGCCCCCTGGAATGTTTGCATCCCCCCCCCCCCCCAATCCCAGACTGCTTTCGGCGCGCATGCAATGAGCTATTATAATCCCATTGGAATCCCCTTTTACTGTTCAAACTTTGAAGAGCATCAACTCTTAATCCAAATTGTTTAGGAAAACACACAGCCCTTGCTGTCCTCTCATTGTATGTAGGCTTTATATGCTCAATTTATATTTTGTAATGTCCGTTGTTATTACGAACAGTGGAAATGCAGCCCAGCTGAAATAATATCAGAAAGAAAAAAATCAGCGCCCGTCAATTTTCCATTGTTTTTAATTTCTTTAGTGTCCATTTTATATTGTCCGATTTCAGCTTTCTGTTCATTATTGCTTTGTACTCTGATATAGTCTGGACTCTGAGTCCCAAACGAAAATCTTACAGGTGTCTTAGTTCTTCAAGATTACGCACAAAAAGATCCCCTCTCTTTCTCTGCCTTTCCTTTTCTCTCTCTCTCTCTCTCTCTCTCTCTCTGAATATTCTTTTTTCTTCCCTTATTCTTTCTCTCCTCCTTTCTTTCGATTTATCTGTCGCCCGTTTAATGTAATTTACTCTGCCCTTAACGTTTCTTTTGTTTTATAATCAATTTTATTACGTCCTCGTGTGTAATCAATTTACCACAGATAAACTTGTTTTTCTTTTTCTTTTTGGGATGGGATATCTTTTGTTTGATTGTACTTGTATCACAGGAATACTACGGGGAAGGTGGGCCGAATGACGCAGTGTGGTCGGACTGATAGGGGGTGGGGTGATGGGTCGCATAAATTATTGGGGCATGCTTTTTTAAATTTACTTGTTCAGAAATGTATTGATTCTTACGAATAACGGTCCTTATTTATGAATAGTTTCCGTTTTATGAAAAGCGGTCCTCCAGGTATCGGAAGTTTCACGTTATGAATAGTGGATTAGTGAAGGTTTGTTTCTTTAGTTTGCAGTTTTAGAATCTTCTTCTTCTTCTTCTTTTTCTTGTTCTCCCTCCGCTTTTGTCGGAGATCAGCAACAGGATGTGGCAAGTAGATGTGAGGTAAGAGATGAGGTACGGTTTACATGAATCTTGTAGATAAAAATTAGTGTTGCAGTATTTAGATCATCACATATTTCTTTCTGCGATACCATTAGTCAGAAGCGCCAATAACTCAAAACACAACAACAACAGCGAGGAAATGTTTCTGTTCGTCGACCGTTTCTGTTCTACAGGACAGGATGTCGCATTGAAGAAAATGGTCACCAAGGATAGCTAGTGTGTGTATCAAGATGACGACTCTAACTTCTAAGTTGTCTTGTAGCATGGTTGTTCCTCTACCTATTTGCAGTTTCGTAAGTACATTTTTATTTAATAACCATTACAAAAAAACTGCTACATTACTGTGAACCTGTTCGAAGAGCTGCTTGGTTGAGCATTGCACAGTCCCACAAGTTAATATTTGTGTGGGCATCATTGTCATGTTGTGCTTGGGAATGGGATGGAAGTGGGCGTGTTTACATCTCATGATCTTGTTAACATATAGAACTTTAGCTTACATTTAGCACATGCGCATAACGTTCATCTGATCTTGCATCTTCATTTTTACTTAATTGGCGCTGACAAGGTCCCTTCTTATTATTGGCTATCAGTATCCCAGGCTCCAATTCACATAATCAATGTTATAAGATATAGACCTCTAGGCCTACACGAAGAACTTCAGCTTACAGTTATGAATAAGAGCATGTGCAGATCGCTCATCCGATCTCAGCCTCATTTTCTTAAGTTGGGCCCTAGCCGACAAGGGCCCTTAAGATTGGCTATCGCTGTTCTCTATTTACTCAATGCTATAAGATATTTTTTTTATACCAAAATTATATTTCAGTCAAACCCTCTATTTGTTATGATTTTTTCACTTACCGTAGTTAACAGTGTATTAACCGCACTTTTTTTACCGCCGGTATAAAAAAAATAATTAAAAAAAAAAAATTACAATTAAAAAAAAAAACATGGCCGCCAAATACTTGAGTATCCACCTGTAAACCTGGGCGTGTACTCATAGGCGACAATCCAAATTAGACCGTGGGGGGAACACAAGTTCAGACAGGGCGCGCCAGCTTATTTTGTGAAGGGGGGGGGGTGTCTGAGGGGATGTGCCCCCTCAGAAGTTGAAGATTTGTTTTAATTGATGCATAAATGGCTCAATTTGGTGCATTCTTTTTGCCAAATTAAAAACAAAACAAAACGCAGGGGGTATCTGAGGGGGGGGGGGTGTGCCCCCCTCAGAAGTTGAAGATTTTTTTTTAAATTGATGGATAGTTGGCTTGATTTGGGGCATACTTTTTGCCAAATTAAGAAACAAACAGTAGAACGCAGGGCGTGTACTTGAGTACCTCATTACACACTTATGCACAACCTTAACTTCTATTTAGACCTTGTGATATATCATAATGTCATCATTGACCCTTAAGGATGTTTGCTTGCAAACTACTTCTAGAGATAGATTTTTCCATCTGAACCTGCCTTAGATTCTTGTCTTTCATTGAGTTCTCAGTGAATGGAAATGATCCGCACCTTAACCTGTTTTACATGGTCATGGGGATGGTTAATTTACTTCCTGGAAGTTTGAAGAAAAATGATCAGTATGTGATGGGTGAATATTAATGTTCATTCCCAGAATGACAGCAATTGCATTCATACCACATTGCAAATAAGTCTAAAATCATAGATTTTATAACTAGAATGAAGAAAGTCCACCCAAATCACCACCCAAATAATCTTTTAATCAACAAATTAAACAAACCTTTAACATCCTAATGACCCTTGATGAAGTTTATTCAAAGAATCTGTAGTAGCTGCTCATTGACCTGGTTATCTGACAATGGACACTTCAATCTTCATAGGCCCTTCATCATCAGCTCGAGTTTGCCAATAACCCGCTATTTTCAGACTCAGGATATTATCCCAAAGCTCGAAATTGCGTATTCACCAGACCGATACGCTCATCACAAACTAGTCAATTAGCGGGATATTTTGGAAACAAGACCAAGATTTCTCGGGATATTATCTCGACCAAATATCCTGCCAATTGCAACTGCAGGCTGATGGGGAGGCAAATTAACTGGTTAATTTGCGATCAGGATGGTTAAAATAGCAGGTTATTTGGCAAACTTGATGAAGACGGTTACCATTGATTGTCTTATAATGCCTGCTATGATTATGAATTAGGCCCATGATCTGATATCATGTATTTGTATAAAGTTCTATTAGCACCAGATTAGGTGTCTGTAAATTTTAAACAAGACCCTGTATGTAACCTAGAATCATTTCATGATTTGCAAATTGCTGACAGTCTGTATCCCACTGCCATATATATAAAGTAGTATTTATTTCCATAGAAAAGCATATACAATGTAACAATATAACAATACAAAATAAGATAACAAGGAATCTTTCCTTCACATAGTGAATAGACATATTATAAAGACGTGAAAATCATGGCCCAGGACGTTGACATTACTCAGGCAGGGCCTAACATGTAAACATATACATACAAACATATATACTTGTTCTAAGATCATTAGCAGTCAGAAGTATCAGTTATAATATGAAAAATTAATTATGGGGTTCGTTCAATCTAAAAATATAATAATATTTATGTAATGTAGAACGTAATGGTAAAGTTTAGCGGAGAAGGAGGATGAAGTGGGAAAAGGGAGGAAGAGAGACATAGCAAAGGAGAGAGACGGAGAGAATGAATTTACAACAGATTTCTTGATTGCATCTCACGGAGAATAAGCTGTATCGTATTATACACACATTTGTTATAAAAGTTGACTTATCATTATTTAAAGAGTTCTCATGAATTTTGTAGTAAAAGTTTTGGTCATTTGCTTCTAAATAATCACACATTATCAGTATTTGGACACACTATTTGGACACACACTATCAGTATGTATCTTTTATAGATGACTTACAGTGAAAATCAATGGTTACAGTTTATTTTGCAATTATGTCTCATTCTCTGTATCTCAAAATGTTCATACTGTTTCCTTGCTAATTATACTCTGCATGTTTCATTACTGTGTTGTACATAAATCAGGAAAATAATAATTTCTGATGCACACAAAGCTGAAACAGAGATATGAAATTTTTAACGCCAAACCAATTAAGGCTGTGCACAACAGTGTAATGAGGTACCAAAGTACACTCCCAGGCTTACAAGCGAATACTCGAATATTCGGATGCCATATTTTTTATTAATTTTTCATTATTTTTTTTTTTTTTAATTTTTTAATTTTTAATTTTTTTTTTTTTTTTTTTGCCACCACCATACCACTGGAGCAGTATCCCAAGTCCATCGCCGAAAAGGCATGCAATTTTACTTCGAATTGCAGTTGAAGGCGCCGATTTAATAATAACAATAACAGTAAGCAATGCTGTTTTAAAAACCAAAGATGGCAGAATAATCCATTTTCCTCCAATTCCAAACAGAAATCCGGACATTTGGTACCAGTTTCTGAGTGGTGAGTTTGACAGTGCTTGAGTTGGGAAACATTTTTACCGACGGTACCATGCCAGGGGCCACTGCTGGCATGGAACTTTGTCATGTGATTTTTTGTGTGTATGTGACTGCTGAGACCATGCTAAGTTACATGTCCTTTTGAATAGAGTTATTGTAATTTTGGCTCTCAACCGATTATTTATTGTATCCCCCAGCAGTATGCCAGTGGGGTACTTTGGACTCAGCAGCGTTACGCCGCCGCGTCATATTCTTGTGTGCACTCTAACTACCACATTTCGTGACGAATTTCTTTCAAATTTTATATGGAGGTGTATCTTAGTATAATCTACATACCTATAACTTTGGTGACACGACATTTGCTCCTGCGACAATTGCTCCGGGCTTTATTTCGTCTAAGATGTAAGGTTAGGGTTAGGGTTTCAATAGGGTTTTATGTTAGGTTTAGGGTTAGGTTTAGGGTAGGGTATAGTGTTGATTCCAGGGTTGAAGTTAGCCATTCGATTAGTGTATGAAATTTACAGCGGAGCAATTGTCGCCGGAGCAAATGTCATGGAACCATAACTTTTGGTGATGCTGCCCCCAGTGTTCCGTCTTCTATAGGGTAAAAGACCATATTTTTGTGGATGGTTTGTGTGCGCTCTATAGGCCACATTATAAGGTGTATCTTGGTTTAATCTACAAGCCCATAGATTTTGGTGATGCTGCCACCAGTGTTCCGTCTTTTATAGGGTCAAAACTCAAAGGTCATATTTTGATAGTTTTCTTGTGTGCACTCTAGTGTGCTGTCTAACAATAATAATAATACATATGATTTATAAGGCGCCAAATCCACTTGACAGTCAAATGCTCAAGGCGCATTGTGCATCATTCCTTGGCGGATTTCTTTCAAATTAAATATGGAGGTGTATCTTGGTATAATCTAAGCACATACAACTTTGGTGATACTGCCCCTAGTGTTCGGTCTTCTATAGGGTAAAAGAAAATATTTTTGTGGATGGTTTGTATGCGTTCAAGAGATTTGGTTCAAATTTTGAACAAAGGTGTATCTTGGTACAATCTACACATCTACACTTTTGGGCGATGCTGCCCTCATTGTGCCTTCTTTTATATGGTCAAATAATGGTCATATGTCTTTTATGCACTCTAACTGCCACATTTCGTGACGGATTTCTTTCAAATGTTGTATGGAGGTGTGTCTTAGTACATCTACACACATATATTGTTTTGGTGATGCTGCTCCTAGTCTTGACAATAGTCCAAGCCACTAGTGGCTATCTCTACGTCATCCTTTTGTTTCAGGGAGGGGAGAGAGGGGATCTTTGTCCCTCCTTCTTACATAAGGATCACACAAAATCACTGCCGCTGCCGGGGGATACATTCGCATTGCGCGGCAATACAGATTGCGATATTTCTAGTTTGGATTGCAGACTTTGATACAGCCCATCACACATTTATGTCAGACAATGATATCATCACTGTCAATTGAACACCCATGCATCCATGTATGAGTAAAATATTCTATTGCATATTTGCCAATAGATTTTTGTAAAAAGGCATGTAATAAGTTAAAGAGGAAATACTATGATAAATCAAAAAATCAATATTGCTGTCAACTTCTTATTTTATAGTTTTTGAATGCAGACTCTTTGATATGTACAATAAAATTGAATATCCTGGTGGTTGTAATAATGTAGAAGAATTTTGTTTTGTATCATTGCAGGATCCAGGCTTGTTTCCATCAGAGATCATTGATCAAGATAGAAAGAATGGACCACCGACATATGAAGAACCTTCACCTACATGTACCACTCAAACACTTGAAGAGGATGACATATTTAGTGACAGGTATATCACATTTCTTTTCTATGTTGGGTTTTCTCTTTTGATATGGGGTTCCATCAGGTTATTGCCTGATTTTTTTTTCTTCATTTTTCTTTCTTCTCCACCTGGCACTGTGCCGGCCTGCAGAAGCTAACCCATGCCCGAAAAAGCACCGGCAGGGTACAGTGAGTAAAAATGTTTCCTAGCTCAATGATACACAGGTGTCATTGTCAACTCACGACTCCGAAACAAGGACCAAACTAGCTGCCAATGTCCAGATTTCTGTTTGAACTTGGAGGATAATTTGTCTGTTATCTTTAGTTTTAAAAACAACATTGTTACTATTGTTTGTGAGAAGTTCACAAGCACAAGTCGGCGCCTTCAATTGCATATCGCATTAAAATAGCGTGGGTTTTCGTAGCCGGACAATGTGGTGCTTCCTACAACGTCGGCAAAAAAAGAAAAAAATGCAATGTAAAGAGACATATCAACCGGCATGTTGCCATTTTCAATGTTTTAAGACTAGTTGATATGTATTTATACATTGAAAATGGCAATGTGCTGTTTGATATGTCTCTTTACATTGAAAATTAAATGGCAACATGCCAATTTAAATGTCTTTATATATTGAAAATGGCAACATGCCAGTTGTTATGTCTCTTTACATTGGTAATGACAACATGCCGGTTGTTAAGTCTCTTTACATTGAAAAATTGGCAACGTGCCGGTTGATGTATTTATACATTGTTAATGGCAATGTGCCTTTTCCTTAGTATTTAAACACTGAAATTGGCAACGTGCCGGTTAATATATCTCTTTACATTGAAAATGGCAACATGCCATGGCAACATGCCGTTTAATATGTCTTTATACATTGAAAATGGCAACGTGCCAGTTGATATGTCCTTTACATTAAAAATTGGCAATGCGCCTGTTGATATGTCTTCATACATTGTTAATGGCAATGTGCCTTTTCGTTAGTCTTAAAACACTGAAATTGGCAGGTTGTCGGTTGATATGTCTTCATACACTGAAAATGGCAACGTGCCGGTTGATATGTCTTTTGCATTAAAAATTGCCAACGTGCCAATTGAAATGTCTTTATACATTGAAAATAGCAACGTGGCTGTTGATATGTCCTTTACATTAAAAATTGGCAATGCGCCTGTTGATATGTCTTCATACATTGTTAATGGCAATGTGCCTTTTCCTTAGTATTTAAACACTGAAATTGGCAGGGTGTCGGTTGATATGTCTTCATACACTGAAAATGGCAACGTGCCGGTTGATATGTCTTTTGCATTAGAAATTGCCAACGTGCCAATTGAAATGTCTTTATACATTGAAAATAGCAACGTGGCTGTTGATATGTCCTTTACATTAAAAATTGGCAATGCGCCTGTTGATATGTCTTCATACGTTGTTAATGGCAATGTGCTTTTTTGTTAGTCTTATAACACTGAAAATGGCAACGTGTCGGTTGATATGTCTTCATACACTGAAAATGGCAACATGCTTTTTCTTAGTATTTAAACACTAAATTGGCAACGTGCCTGTTGATAAGTCTCTTTACATCGAAAATGGCAATGTGCCAGTTTATATGTCTGTATACATTGTTAGTGGCAACGGTTCATGAGTCTTAAAACACTGAAATTGGCGTGGTGCTGTTCGATATGTCTTTTGCATTAAAATTTGGCAACGTGCAAGTTCATATATCTTCATACATTGAAAATGTCAATTAGCGGGTTGATATGTCCCTTTACAATGAAAATGGCAACATGTCAGTTGATATGTCTCTTTACATTGAAAATAGCAACATGCTAGTTGATATGTCTCTAAACATTGATATTAAATGATTTTAAACAGTGTAAATTGCAATGTCACGGTTGATATGCCTTATACATTGGTAGTGGCAACATGCCGGTTGTTATGTCTCTTTACATCGAAAACGGCAACATGCCGGTTGTTATGTCTCTTTAGATTAAAAGTTGGCAACGTGTCAGTTGATATGTCTGTATACATTGTTAGTGGCAATGTGCCTTTTCCTAAGTATTTAAACACTGAAATTGGCAACGTGCCTGTTGATAAGTCTATTTACATTGAAAATGGCAATGTGTCAGTTTATATGTCTGTATACATTGTTAATGGCAACGTGCCTTTTCCTAAGTATTTAAACACTGAAATTGGCAATGTGCCTGATGATAAGTCTCTTTACATTGAAAATGGCAATGTGCCGGTTTATATGTCTGTATACATTGTTAGTGGCAACGAGCCGGTTTATGAGTTTTAAAACACTGAAATTGGCAACGTGCCTGTTGATATGTCTTCATACACTGTTAATGGCAATGTGCCTTTTCCTTAGTCTTAAAACACTGAAATTGGCAACGTGCCTGTTGATAAGTCTCTTTACATTGAAAATGGCAATGTGTCGGTTTATATGTCTGTATACATTGTTAATGGCAACGTGCCTTTTCCTAAGTATTTAAACACTGAAATTGGCAATGTGCCTGATGATAAGTCTCTTTACATTGAAAATGGCAATGTGCCATTTAATATGTCTTTATACATTGAAAATGGCAACGTGCCTGTTGATATGTCCTTTACATTGAAAATTGGCAATGCGCCTGTTGATATGACTTCATACTGTACATTGTTAATGGCAATGTGCCTTTTCCTTAGTCTTAAAACACTGAAATTGGCAACGTGCCTGTTGATAAGTCTCTTTACATTGAAAATGGCAATGTGCCGGTTTATATGTCTGTATACATTGTTAGTGGCAACGTGCCGGTTTATGAGTTTTAAAACACTGAAATTGGCAAGGTGCTGTTCGATATGTCTTTTGCATTTGAAATTGGCAACGTGCAAGTTGATTACTTCATACATTGAAAATGGCAAGGTGCCGGTTGATATGTCTTTAATAATAAAGACATTTTTATAGCGCGACAAATCCAACCAGAGGGTGCTCAAGGCGCTTGTACATTGGTAATGGCAACGTGCCGGTTGAGATGGCTTTATACATTGAAAATGTCAATTAGCAGGATGATATGTCCCTTTACGATGAAAATGGCAACATGTCAGTTGATATGTCTCTTTACATTGAAAATAGCAATGTGCCTTTTCCTTAGTATTTAAACACTGAAATTGGCAACGTGCCGGTTAATATGTCTCTTTACATTGAAAATGGCATCGTGCCGGTTGATATGTCCTTTACATTAAAAATTGGCAATGCGCCTGTTGATATGTCTTCATACATTGTTAATGGCAATGTGCCTTTTCGTTAGTCTTAAAACACTGAAATTGGCAGGGTGTCGGTTGATATGTCTTTGCATTAAAAATTGGCAATGTTCAAGTTCATATGTCTTCATACATTGAAAATGTCAATTAGCGGGTTGATATGTCTCTTTACATTGAAAATGACAACATGCCGGTTGAGATGTCTTTATACATTGAAAATGGCAACATGCCATGGCAACATGCCGTTTAATATGTCTTTATACATTGAAAATGGCATCGTGCCGGTTGATATGTCCTTTACATTAAAAATTGGCAATGCGCCTGTTGATATGTCTTCATACATTGTTAATGGCAATGTGCCTTTTCGTTAGTCTTAAAACACTGAAATTGGCAGGGTGTCGGTTGATATGTCTTTGCATTAAAAATTGGCAATGTTCAAGTTCATATGTCTTCATACATTGAAAATGTCAATTAGCGGGTTGATATGTCTCTTTACATTGAAAATGACAACATGCCGGTTGAGATGTCTTTATACATTGAAAATGTCAATGTGCCTTTATATATGTTTGTATACATTGTTAATGGCAACATGCTGGTTCATTAGCCTTAAAACACTGAAATTGGCAATGTGCCGGTTAATATGTCTCTTTACATTGAAAATTGGCAACGTGCTGGTTGATATGTCTTTTACATTAAAAATTAGCAATGCGCCTGTTGATATGTCTTCATACATTGTTAATGGCAATGTGCCTTTTCGTTAGTATTAAACACTGAAATTTGCAAGGTGTCGGTTGATATGTCTTCATACACTGAAAATGGCAACGTGCCGGTTGATATGTCTTTTGCATTACAAATTGCCAATGTGCCAATTGAAATGTCTTCATACACTGAAAATGGCAACGTGCCGGTTGATATGTCTTTTGCATTACAAATTGCCAATGTGCCAATTGAAATGTCTCTTTACATTGAAAATGGCAACATACCGGTTGTTATGTCTCTTTACATTGAAAATGGCAACGTGCCATGGCAACGTGCAAGTTGAGATGTCTTTATACATTGAAAAATGGCAACGTGGCTGTTGATATGTCTCTTTATATTGAAAATGGCAACATGCTGGTTGTTATTTCTCTTTGCATTTAAAATTATCAACGTGCAAGTTGATATGACTTCATACATTGAAAATGGCAAGGTGCCGGTTGATATGCCTTATACATTGTTAATGGCAACATGCCGGTTGTTATGTCTCTTTACATTGAAAATGGCAAAATGCTGGTTGTTATGTCTCTTTACATTGAAAATTGGCAACGTGCCGGTTGACATGTCTTCATACATTGTTGATGGCAACGTGCCTTTTCCTAAGAATTTAAACACTGAAATTGGCAACGTGCCTGTTGATCAGTCTCTTTACATTGAAAATGGCAATGTGCCAGTTTATATGTCTGTATACATTGTTAGTGGCAACGTGCCGGTTTGTGAGTTTTAAAACACTGAAATTGGCAAGGTGCTGTTCGATATGTCTTTTGCATTTGAAATTGGCAACGTGCAAGTTGATATGACTTCATACATTGAAATTGGCAATGTCTCGGTTAATATTTCTCTTTACATTTAAAATTGGCAACGTGCCAATTTAAATGTCTCTTTACATTGAAAATTGGCAACGTGCCGGTTGACATGTCTTCATACATTGTTGATGGCAACGTACCTTTTCCTAAGTATTTAAACACTGAAATTGGCAACGTGCCTGTTGATAAGTCTCTTTACATTGAAAATGGTAATGTGCCGGTTTATATGTCTGTATACATTGTTAGTGGCAACATGCCGGTTTATGAGTTTTAAAACACTGAAATTGGCAAGGTGCTGTTCGATATGTCTTTTGCATTTGAAATTGGCAACATGCAAGTTGATATGACTTCATACATTGAAAATGGCAAGGTGCCGGTTGATATGCCTTATACATTGGTAATGGCAACGTGCCGGTTGAGATGTCTTTATACATTAAAAAATGTCAATGTGCCTTTTTATGTTTGTATACATTGTTAATAGCAACATGCTGGTTCATTATCCTTAAAACACTGAAATTGGCAATGTGCCGGTTAATATGTCTCTTTACATTGAAAATTGGCAACGTGCTGGTTGATATGTCTTTTACATTGAAAATTGGCAACGTGCCGGTTGATATGTCTTCATACATTGAAAAATGGCAACAGGCTGGTTGTTATGTCTCTTTACATTGA